CTTTAAAAGCCTTTAATATAGTCTTATACATTGCAAACTTTCAAAAAAAAGAGCTAAAATATGTAATGCTTAGGTACATGTTCTTAGCAGAGGACAAACGTGTTTGAATCTTGTATCTACCATTTAGCAGTAATCTTCTACAGTATATTTAATATTCCTTCTGTAGATTATGTGTTTATATCTTCTCAAAATTTAGATGTTGTTGCTTTAAACCCCAGTATAACTGTATTTGAAGATTGAAACTTTAAGTATTTAAGGTTAAACAGAGTTATCAGGAAGGGCTCTGTTCCCATAGAACTAATGTCCTCATAATAAGAGACATCAGAGAACTTGCTTGCTCCTACTTCCTCTCTATGCATGTGCATGCGGCAAAAATCCATGTGAGAACACAGTGAGAAGCTGGACTTCTGCAAGCTAAGAAGAGAGCTCTTACCAGAAACCAAATTTGCCAGCACCTTGATCTTGAATTTCCCAGCATCCAAAGCTCTGAGAAAATAAATTTCTATTGTTTAAGCCATCCAATCTGTAGTATTCTGTTACAGCAACTCAAGCATACATTAAACATACATAATTAAACATACATTAAACATGTTCATTAAGCATACATCAATATAAATGGGGGTAATATAAGTATCTACCATGTGAGGTTGTTAGGAGGAACAACTGAATTGATATATATATATATATATATATATATATATATATATATATATATGCTATTATCACTATTGTCTTCATTCAAGATCCAGGATTTCTGTTCTATACATTTTAGGGAGTGCTGTACATCATGCTGCCTTAGAGGAAGGATAGCAAGAAATAAGCAATTTAAGTATTCACTTAACCAAAGTATATTGTTCCTGGTTTAGGGCCAGGTGAAGAAAGACTTGAGAGTGAATACATCATTTAAAAACTGCATTTGGTGAAAGAACAAGATGGTGGAGGAGTAGATGGATGTGAAGTATATCTCTTTCCATGGATATGTAAGAAATACACCGTCAGACACAGAAGTGCATGCAGAACACTAGCTGAGAGTGGACAGGAGTACCTGACCATTGGAAAAGAATATATAGAATCATGCAAAACTTGGTAGGATGAAGGAACTAGAGGGGAAAACAAGAGTGTTATTAGGATTGGACCTGCCCTTGGCAGGTGGATGAACGGAAGCAGGGGTCCAATTCCCACATCAGGGAAATTGTCTGAGTCAGAGGAGAAATATTTAAGGCTGAGAGTGAAGTAGCTGGTCTGTGTCAGCCTAAACAGAATGAGAATCAGACAGTCCTTCCTGCAGCCATACTTACCCTAAACAGGGTCGCAGGTCCCCTAGAAGAGCTTAGGTATTGCTCCGAAATCCCAGGGTGAGGGCTGCTGTTGACTGCGGAAAGACAAACAAAGGGGGTGTGAGGGAGGAGATCATGCTGGGAAAAGCCTGTGGAAGAAAGCCAGGCAGCCATGGAAGCAAGACAATACTGCTGAGTCACACTTAGGGGGTGGAGCTATCACCATAGCCTTCCTTTTCCCACACACTAGCATTGGCAACTGAACAACAGAGAAGCTGGCCTATGAAGCATCTGATGCACCGAACTACAGAGTAGAACTCCACCCAGGGTACTCCTTTAAGTGATTGATGTACCAAACTACAAATAGGTCCCCACACAAGGTGCCCCTGTAAATGCCTGACTTGCTGATCTACAGAGTAGGACCCCAGCCAGGGGGCCCATCTATGTGCCTGATGTGCCAAACAACAGAGAAGGACCCAGGCAAGAAAGCCCTCTAAGTGCTTGAACGGGTGGAGCTATGGAGAAAGACTAGCCAAAAAGGCCTTCTGATCACCAGCTATCATAGGCTTGAAAAAATACTCTGATAGGGCCACAACTCCTGCAGCTGAGGCAGTCGGTGTCCTTCCACACTTGGCACCACCAGGGTCCCCATGACACAAGCAGCTACACCACCTTCATGCTCAACCCTCACTGGGACAGACCTGCCACAGGCAAAAAATAAATAAATAAATAAATAAATAAATAAACCTTTCATCTATGCATGCTGAGTCACTTTGGTTTTATACAAATCTTTGTGACCCTGTGGACTGTGGGCTTCCAGGCTTCTCTGTCAGGGTGGTTCTCCAGGCAAGAATACTGAATACTGGAATATATTGCCCGTTACTAGTTGCCATACCCTTCTAGAGCACTATATTTGATGCTGCCTTAGCCACCAACTTCCCTGAGTATGTAGTGGTGACAGAACCCCTGCAACCCAAGCAACTGAATCACCTCTGCACCAGGCCCTCACTGGGACATACCCAAATCCTCCAGGGCAGCCTCAGAAGCAGATCCCAGTGGATGGCCCACTGGCAGAGGTGGAAATAAAACCACAATTGAAACCAAGGGGCAGTGTGGCCAAGGAAGAAGACCCAAAACCTTCCCACCAGTTGTACAAGATGAAGATTAAATTCACATGATCAAGTAGGCAGACTCTGTGTCCATGGAATATTTAAAAGTACATTGAGAGCTCCCACAAAAGAAAGCTCACTAGTTCTGATAGCTGTGCACATTAGCGGCAAGAACACACAGTAGTAGGACCAGATTAGAATCTAAGCTGCCCCCACACAGGTCCAGAGACCAGCACAGTGTTGGAGGGCATCCTAGGGAAGTCAGGTGGACTGTGACACCCAATGAGGGAAAGGATCCTGACAGAGTGACTCAAGAAAAACAATTATTATTCTTGTTTTGATCCTTCTATAGTTTCTATTGGATTTCTCTTCATTTTTCTTTTTTCTCCCTCCTCCCTGTTGTAGTTGTTGATTTTATTGGCACTATGAAATCTAATTAAGCTTTTGAATTTTTTCTTTTCAATATCACATTTTATTGTTGTTATAAACCTCTGCCTCTATATTGGGCTTTTGCAGTTCTGTAAAGTTTTATTTTCTTTTTTTTTTTTCCTTTGTTTTTTTCCTCTTTTTTTCTGTATTTTTATTTTAATTTTTAAAACCTATTATTATTTTTATACACTTATTCCTTTGTTTGCCTTTCCTATTCTTTTCCCCTTGCACTCAATCTTTAATATATACAAACCTTCTTTATCTACCTCTGTTTAACTTTGCATAACTTTTCTTTCTTCCTTATTTTCCTTCCTTTCCTTTCTTCTCAACATTTTTGTTACATTTCTTATCATTGCTTTATTCCCCACTTGGCACCTTGATTTAGTTTTGCTTTCCTGTTTGTGCTTTGCTTAGACTGTTTTGATTTCACTTGTGGGTATGCATTTATATGTGTACATTCCATTATTTTAACTATTATTTGCCTGATTATGTAACAGCCATTTGTCTGGGGTTCACCTTTAGGTATTTGTTTTAATCTCACTTAGTGCTATAACAAGCCACTTGTGGAAACTTTGTTCATGACCAGAGATCAAGCCCTGAGCCTTTGGAGTGGGAAAATTGACTCCAAGACCCTAGACTATCAGAGAACTAACCCTATAGACTATCAAATAGGAAGAACTCCCACAAAGGAAAACACTTGCTTACAAGATCCAGTCTCACCCAACCACCAGTAGCACTCTGTGCAGGATATCTCATTCGAACAACAAATACAACAAAAATGCAAATTAAATCATCAGCAAACAGGATTGCCACTTCACTCAGCCTTGGCCAGCAGAGGAAAGACAACAACCACAAAAAAAATAAAAATAAAAAAAATAAAAAACTCAGTACAAATCTCACCCTATACAAAGCTCACACAAACCACTGTGGTAATCTTAGGGACAGAAGCAAAAAGGAAGAAATAATTCAACCTTGAAGCCTGGGAAAAGGAGAACTCAAACACAATAAGTTTAAAAAATAATGAAAAGGCAAAGAATTACTACACAAACAAAGGGACATATTAAAAATACAGAAGTCCAAATAAATGAAGAAGAAATATGCAAACTATCTGAATAATTATTCAGAATAATGATAGTAAAGATGACCAACACCCTTGAAAACAGAATGGAGAAAATTCAAGAATCAATTAACAAAGACCTAAAAGAGTTCAAGAATAAGCATACAGAGACCAACAACACAATTACTGAAATTAAAAATGCCTTAGAAAGAATCAATAGCAGAATATCTGAGGCAGAAGAACGAATCAGTGGGCTGGAAGATAAAATAGTGGAAATAACTTCTGAAGAGCAGAATAAAGTAAAAGCAATGAAAAGAACTGAGGATAGTCTCAAAGACCTCTGGGACAATATCAAATGCACCAGCATTCGAATTGTAGGGGTCCCAGAAGAAGAAGCATAAAAGAAAGGTTATGAGAAAATGTTTTGAAGAGAATATAGTTGAAAATTTCCCCAACATGGAAAAGGAAATAGTCAATCAAGTCCAAGATGTGCAAAGAGTCCCATACAGGATAAATCCAAAGAGAAACACACCAAGACACATAATAATCAAACTAGCGAAGACTAAACACAAAGAAATAATATTAAAAGCAGAAAGAGAAAAGCAACAAGTAACAGTCAACATAATCTCTTCACTTTTTTTTTTATTTTTTTTATTTTTTTTAATTAATTAATTTATTTATTTATTTTTTTATCTCAACCATAGTGTATCTTTTTTTTTTTTTTTACATGTATTCCCCATCCCGGTCCCCCCTCCCACCTCCCTCTCCACCCAATCCCTCTGGGTCTTCCCAGTGCACCAGGCCCGAGCACTTGTCTCATGCACCCAACCTGGGCTGGTGAACTGTTTCACCCTAGATAATATACGTGTTTCAATGCTGTTCTCTTGAAACATCCCACCCTCGCCTTCTCCCAGAGTCCACAGGTCTGTTCTATACATAGGAGTCTCTTTTTCTGTTTTGCACATAGGGTTATCGTTACCATCTTTCTAAATTCCATATATATGTGTTAGTATACTGTAATGGTCTTTATCTTTCTGGCTTACTTCGCTCTGTATAATGGGCTCCAGTTTCATCCATCTCATTAGAACTGATTCAAATGAATTCTTTTTAATGGCAGAGTAATATTCCATGGTATATATGTACCACAGCTTCCTCATCCATTCGTCTGCTGATGGGCATCTAGGTTGCTTCCATGTCCTGGCTATTATAAACAGTGCTGCGATGAACATTGGGGTGCACGTGTCTCTTTCAGATCTGGTTTCCTCGGTGTGTATGCCCAGAAGTGGGATTGCTGGGTCATATGGCAGTTCTATTTCCAGCTTTTTTAGAAATCTCCACACTGTTTTCCATAGTGGCTGTACTAATTTGCATTCCCACCAACAGTGTAAGAGGGTTCCCTTTTCTCCACACCCTCTCCAGCATTTATTGCTTGTAGACTTTTGGATAGCAGCCATCCTGACTGGACCTGAGAAAGAAGAATGGAACTGGAGGAATCAATCTGCCTGACTTCAGACTATACTACAAAGCCACAGTCATCAAGACAGTATGGTACTGGCACAAAGACAGAAATATAGATCAATGGAACAGAATAGAAAGCCCAGAGATAAATCCACGAACCTATGGTCACCTTATCTTTGACAAAGGAGGCAAGGATATACAATGGAAAAAAGACAACCTCTTTAACAAGTGGTGCTGGGAAAACTGGTCAACCACCTGTAAAAGAATGAAACTAGAACACTTTCTAACACCATACACAAAAATAAACTCAAGATGGATTAAAGATCTAAATGTAAGACCAGAAACTATAAAACTCCTAGAGGAGAACATAGGCAAAACACTCTCCGACATAAATCACAGCAGGATCCTCTATGACCCACATCCCAGAATTTTAGAAATAAAAGCAAAAATAAACAAATGGGACCTAATGAAACTTAAAAGCTTTTGCACAACAAAGGAAACTATAAGCAAGGTGAAAAGACAGCCCTCAGATTGGGAGAAAATAATAGCAAACGAAGCAACAGACAAAGGATTAATCTCAAAAATATACAAGCAACTCCTCCAGCTCAACTCCAGAAAAATAAATGACCCAATCAAAAAATGGGCCAAAGAACTGAACAGACATTTCTCCAAGGAAGACATACAGATGGCTAACAAACACATGAAAAGATGCTCAACATCACTCATTATCAGAGAAATGCAAATCAAAACCACAATGAGGTACCATTACACACCAGTCTCTTCACTTTTAACAACTGATCTTTCAGTAGAAACTGTGACGGCCAGAAGGGAATGGCATGACATATTTAACGTACTGAAAAGTAACAAATAACAACCAAGATTACTGTACCCAGCAAGGATCTCATTCAAAATTTATGGAGAAAACAAAAGCTTTCCAGACAGCAAAATTTAAGAGAATTCAGCACGACCAAACCAGCTTTACAACAAATGTTCAAGGCACTCATATAGCCAACAAATACAAGAGAAGAAAAGTATGTACAGAAGAAACCCCAAACACTTAAGAATATATTTTAAATGGAAACACATTAAATTCTACAACCAAAAGGCACAGACTGGCTGAATGGATTTAAAAACAGGACCCACTTATATGCTGTTTACAAGAAACCCAATTCAGACTTAAAGAAACATATATATGTGTTAGTATACTGTAATGGTCTTTATCTTTCTGGCTTACTTCACTCTGTATAATGGGCTCCAGTTTCATCCATCTCATTAGAACTGATTCAAATGAATTCTAGACATGTGCTCGGACCTGGTGCACTGGGAAGACCCAGAGGGATCGGGTGGAGAGGGAGGTGGAGGGGGGATTGGGATGGGGAATACATGTATATCCATGGCTGATTCATGTCAATGTATGACAAGAACCACTACAATATTGTAAAGTAATTAGCCTCCAACTAATAAAAATAAATGAAAAAAAAAAGAAACATATAGACTGAAAGTGAGAAGAGGGAAAAAATATATTCCATGGAAATAGAAAGCAAAAAAAAAAAAAAAAAAAAAGCTAGAGTACCAATCCTCATATCAGACAAAATAGACCTGAAAATAAAGAAGATTATAAGAGATAAGGAAGGACACAACATAATGATCATAGGACCAATCCAAGAGGAAGGCATAACAATTGTAAAGAAAATGGAAAACCAGACCACATGACATGTCTTCTGATAAATCTGCATGCAGATCAAGAAGCAACAGTTAGAACTCCACATGGAACAACAGACTGGTTCCAAATCTGGAATGGAATACATCAAGATAGTATATTGTCACCCTGCTAATTTAACTGATAAGCAGAGTCCATCATGCAAAATGCCAGGCTGGATGAAACACAAACTGGAATCAAGACTGCCAGAAGAAATAACAATAACTTCATATATGCAGATGACACCATTCTTATGGCTGAAAGTGAAGAACTAAAGAGCCTCTTCATGAAAGTGAATGAGAAGTGTGAAAAAGTTGGCTTAAAACTCAACATTCAGAAAACTAAGATCATGGCATCTGGTCAAATCACTTCGTGATACATAGAACTGACTCATTTGAAAAGATCCTGATGTTGGAAAAGATTAGGGCAGAAGGAAAGGGGACAACAGAAGATGAGATGGTTGGATGGCATCACCAACTTGAAGGACATGAGTGTGAGCAAACTCTAGGGGTTGCTGGTGGACAGGGAAGCTTGGCATGCTGCAGTCCATGGAGTCACAAAGAGTTGGACATGACTGAGTGACTGAACTGAACTGGTGCACCCAAAAAAGGAGTGCTTCAATACATTAGAAAAACACTAACAGACATAAAAGGAGAAATTGACAGTAACACCATAATAGTAGGAGACTTTAACACTCCACTCACACCAATGGACAGATCATCAAAACAGAAAATTAGTAAGGGAACACAAGTCTTAAATGATACATTAGATGAGAGGGATCTCATTAACATATGCAGGACATTCCATCCAAATGCAGAAGAATACAACTTCCTCTCAAGTACACATTGAACATTCTTCAGGATAGACCACATCTTGTGTCACAAATAAAATTTAAGTAAATTTAAGAAAATTGAAATCATATCAAGCACCTTTTCCAACCACAATTTTATGAGACTAGATATTAATTACAAGAAATATACTGTATTACATGTATTCCCCATCCCAATCCCCCCTCCCTCCTCCCTCTCCGCCCGATCCCTCTGGGTCTTCCCAGTTCTTGTCAATGTATGACAAAAACCACTACAATATTGTAAAGTAATTAGCCTCCAACTAATAAAAAAAAAGAAATATACTGTAAAAAACATAAACACCCTGACATTAAACAATACGTTCCCAAATAACCAACAGGTTACTGATTAAATCAAAAGGGTAATTTTAAAAAGTCCAGAAATAAGTGACAATGAACAAATGACAACTAAAAACCTATGGGATGCATCAAAAGCAGTTCTAAGAAGGAAGATTATAGCAATACAATCATATCTCAAGAAACAAGAAAAATGTCCAATAGGAAGTAAAAAAAATCACAAATATCAGAGCATAAATAAGTGATAAAGAAATTAAAGAAGCAATAGTAAAGATTGATACAACTAAAAGCTGGTTCTTTGAAAAGATAAATAAAATTGACAAAACTTCAGTCAGATGTATGAAGATAATAAAAGAGAATTAAATCAACAAAATTAGAAATTAAAAAGGAGAGGCTGAAACAGATAATGCAGAAATATATCAGATTATGAGAGACTATTATGAACAACTATATGGCAATAAAATGGATAACCTGGAAGAAATGGCCAGATTCTTAGAAAAGTTCAGTCTTCCAAGGCTGAAAGAGGAAGAAATAGAAATTATGAACAACCCAATTGCAAGCAACGAAATTGAAGCTGTGATTAAAAATTTGTACCCCCAAAAAACCCAGGACAAGATGACTTCACAGGAGAATTCTATCAAACATTGACAGAAGAGCCAATGCTTATCCTGTTAAAACACTTCCAAAAAATTTCAAAGGAAGGAACACTTCCAAACTCATTCTACCAGGCCACCATCACCCTGATACCAAAACTAGACAACAGAAAAAAAGAAAATTATAGGCCAATATTACTGATGAACATAAATGCAAAAATCCTCAACAAAATTTTAGCAAACAAAATTCAATGACACATTTAAAACCTCATACACCATGATAAAGTTGGGTTTATTCCCAGGATGGAAGGATTCTTCAATATATGCAAATCAATCAATATGATACACCATATTTACAAATTGGAAGAAAAAAATGATAATCTTAATATATGCAGAAAAAAGCCTTTGACAAAATTCAGCACCATTTATGGTAAAAACGTTTCAAAAAATGGGTATAGAAGGAATCTACCTCAAAATTGTAAAGGCCATACAGGAAAGTAAGCCTACAGGAAAAGCAAACATTATTATCAACAATGATAAACTGAAAACACCCCCCCACACACACACAGATCAGGAACAAGACCAGGGTATTCACTTTCCCCACTACTATTCAACATAATTTTGGAAGTCCTAGCCACAGCAATCAGAGAGGGAAAAAATGAATAAATGTAATTCATATTGGAACAGAAGAAGTAAAGCTTTCACTGTTTGCAGATGACAAGATACTGTAGAGAGAAAACACTAAAGATACTATCAGAAAGTTACTAGAGCTAATCAGTGAATTTAGCAAAGTCACAGGATATAATATCAATACAGAGAAATCATTTGCATTTCTATATATTAACAATGAAAAATCAAAAAGAGAAATTAAGGAATCAATTCCATTCACCATTGCAACAAAAATAATAAAATGCCTGGGAATAAACTTACCCAAGAGGACAAAAGAACTGTACACAGAAAACTATAAGACACTGATGAAAGAAATAAAATACAACATAAATAGATGGAGAGATATGTACCTGGTTAGAAAGAATCAATATTGTGAAATAATGATACTACCAAATGCAATCTACAAAATTCAATGCAATCCTTATTAAATTACCAGTGGCATTTTTCAGAGAACTAGTAAAAAAAAATTACAATTTATATGGAAACACAAAGGCCTCAAATACCTAAATCAGTCTTGAGAAAGAAGAATGAAGTTGGAGGAATCAATCTTCCTAACTTCAGTTTATCCTACAAAGCTACAGTCATAAAAACAGTATGGCACTGCACAAAGACAAAAATATAAACCAATACAACAAGATAGAAAGACCAGAAATACCCAGGCACCTATGGGTACCCTAATTTTTGTCAGAGAAGGCAAGAATACACAGTGAAGCAAAGACATCCTCTTCAATAAATCGTGCTGGGAAAACTTGACAACTACACTCCAAAGAATTAAATTAGAACACTACCTAATGTCATACACAAAGATAAACTCAAAATGGGTTAAAGACCTAAATGTAAGACCAGAAACTATAAAACTCTTAGAGGAAAACCTAGGCAGAACACTCAATGACCTAAATCAAAGCAGGATCCTCTATGACCCACCTCTTAGAGTAATGGAAAT